GGCCCTGATCTTTATACTGTATAATAATTTCATCACAATTTAAGCAGTTATATGGATAAATTATCACATTTCTCTTCATTAATAAATAAAATTTTAACAAAAGCGGAAAGAATCAAAAAGTATTTCTTGAATTTGCTGTTCAGAAAGCGTAATCAAACTTCCTTCCTTTCTGCTTATTTTTTTTATTTTTGAAGTTGTACAAGTTTTTTATTTTTCGAATGCGTTGTACTTTTTAAATTTATACAATTACTTTTGGAAATAATCGTTTTTTACGAAGAGTATCCTTTTTTTTACATTTGCATTTAGAAAGCTAATTTAAAGAAGAAATGTTACTTTTCATTCGATTGTCATTAACCTAATTAACTTCTTTCGACTTTTTAAAAGTTGGAGGGGGGAAAAAAGAAAACTAAAATAAAAGATAAAAATTTTAAAATGAGAAAATGATGTTTAAGAAAACTAAAACAATTCAGTTACATGTAAAATGTACAATGACAACAATTTAGTGAAGTCCGTTGGGATAATTGAATTTCTCTTTCTAAACACATCCTAAGGATATGTAAGAAGCTCGTTTATTAATAAAGATTTCATTCACTTTACAGAACGAAAATTTGCCTTTACGACGAATGTTAATATAATTAAATATTCAAATACAACCGTAAATGTTTAAACAGATAAAATATTTCTATTTTGTAACATTATCTGCTCATTTTCTGGATTATTCAATTTAAGTTCAAATCTTTGATAACTAAACGCAATTTTCTTACAAATATTTTAGGTTTATAGGTTATAGTTTTATTATATTTAATAATGTTACGCATGTTAGAAGTTAATTACATTCCAGAATCGATAAATTTCATTGTTTTTAAACTTCTTTTTATAGTTTATTATTGAAATTTGTCATTTCTCTCCAAGCGAATCAAATGAATTGTATTTAAATCTCCTACTCAGTGACGGATTAAGGAAATTTCGGACCCTAGGCGAAACTGCAATCTGGGCCCAAAAAATCAATAATTTTATTTGTTATCTTTACCACAAAATCCTTTTGGAAACGCTGAAAATGTTACTGTGTTCATATTGTTTCTCTGACACCTCTAATGATAATGATAATGTGTTCATATTGTTTATAATAAACTTAAAATTGTATTTATTTATTATGAATTTAAAAATCGATTTACGGAATCCTGTTAGATCCGCGCCCTAGACTGTCGCGTAATTTGCATAGCCCTAAATTCTCCCTGCTCCGACACAATGCAATTTTCTCAAATTTTGCATCTTTCTATGATAATTATTCATATATTATAGATAAATGTTCTTGAAAATTTATTCAGAAAGCGCTTATAAAAGAATATTCGATAATCAAGTTTGGATTTTGAATAAACAAGATACAGCTTAAGGCTTCATTCTACGAGCCTACGGACTAAGGCTTCGTGCTGTTAAACTTATTATTTAGTGGAAGGGAAGGATCTCTTACATCTCGTAGAGAGTTAGTTTTAGATTTCTTGTAATCTTGATGTTAAAAGAAGTCTAAACCCAGCTGTAATTTAACATAAAAATTGAATCACATATAACCCTATACATTAGCATAGAACCTTATCGATTACGTTAACGATAAAGTTTAAATTATTATCAAAATTATGAGGCTATAAATTTGAGATCAAGTAAATTATATATAAATTTAAATAATATATTCAAACTTTAAGCATTTATTAGACTTATAAAGTAATTATTTTAATCATTAAGCGATGTTTAACGATTAAAAAAATCACTTTTTTAGCGATCCCTTATATTTAAAAGACTCTAAAATAAGATAATGGGGCATCTATTTCTTAACTGTAGACATGTATTATAAATCTTTTAGAACATTGAATCTTATCTTTCTTGAAGAATATAAGAAGCAGAATATCTAAAGAATTACTTTTATAAAAGTTTAACGTTTTATATACGATAAATACATGTTAAATCACTTATAAATACATTATTATAGGTGATTAAATACACTTTATCGATAGATATAAAGTGACTATAGACATTATAAACAGGCATGTACTTTCTACCGCTATTTCGCTGAATTATAATCATTTCTCTCTTTATTTTATGCCTCTTATCTTACTTTATCATTTAGAACGGTTCAATGTAACCGAAATCATTATTTGAAGTGTGCAAAAGCCATTCTTAGTGTCATATATCTCTTTTAGACACCCTAACATTAAAATTAAATGGGGTGTTAACAGATATAAACGTATAGTGGGTTCTATCAAAAATTTTTAAAATTCTTATACGCTTCTAAAGAATGGAAAATTCGGCTCAAGAGTTATTTAAAAGTTTTCTACACTTTCCTGTAATCTTCAAAAATCACACAATTGACTATCATGACGCAAAAGATGACGTCATGTCAGCTGCAGAAGACATTTTGATCACGCCCCACATTCCCTCCGAGATCAATGTTCTGCAGTTGGAATTTTAAATAGGTGTTTAAAATAGCTGAAAAGTTTTGTTGCCATCATCAATTGAGTGAAAAGAAACTTTTTGCCTTAAGTGTGAAACTTGAATGCAAAATTTTCGTTTTCTTAATTTTTGCGCTTCTTAATGAGTTTTACGTCCATTTTTGCTTCAGCAAACTTTATTCCTGTAAAGGTTATAAAGAGAAAAAAGAAGAAGAATCCTGTTTGTAAAGTTATCTTCTCTGTAACGTTGTATAAAATACCGATAATCATAAATCATATTTTTTTCTCCGTCGTTTATAGATAATAAAAAAACATTTTAATGCTTAAAAAATATATATATTGGATAAATGATTAATTAAAACTAGAAAAGTTGTTAAAGAAAAATATATTTAAATAATTAAAAATTCTTACCTATTTTTAAATATCTTGAAGATTATTTTTAAAATTCCTCTCACATGTTTTCAGTAAAAAAAAGAAAGAAAAAACTGAGTAGGAGCGAAAGACGGATGTTGCCTCCATCGAGAGAGAAAACAAAAGAAGGAAGAGAGAGACAAACGAAACTAAACCTGTCTCCCCGCAAAGATGACATAATCGCACAATGTTGTATCTATAAAAACCCACCATTTAACTTCATTAGAAATTTTCCAAAGACAGGGGGAGGTAATGGCGTCTGCTTGGCGTCACCAAGGCGCCACCAAACGGTCATTCGCAGAGCCTGCACCGTGTCATCTGTCACGTGGTATGTGCCCAGTTATTCTGTCACCAAGTTTTAAAAGTCGACTATAAAACTTAACATCGACTCATTCGACCAAATGACTTTTAAACAAGCATCTGGAAATCGAAGACCGTACCATCTACAAGATTACAGTTTTTATCTATTTCTGTAATCGCAAAACGTAAAAATTTTACGAACAATTTAAATTACTTTTATTGTCGGAAATGTTTAAGAGCGCTTGTTGTCTTTCCTGCATGACTCTGAAATATTGAGAGGAAGCATGCTATACAGGAGCAAGTCGTCTTTTTTTTAAACGTTGCACGCTAATCGAATACGTTTTTAAAAAATTAAAATTATGCCAATATAAAAGTTTTCTTATAAAGTGCATTATCCGTTATCATTTCCCATTTACTAACTCAATGGTTCAACCCATCTTTGTAATCTCGTCAAGTTGGATAAACAGGGAATTGGCTAACTGTCTCGAGTCTCTCTGGCGCCTTTCTCCGGCCTCAACACAATTTAATTTGCTTGAAAGATGAACTTAAACTATAATATATCTTCACTTCTTTCATAAAAATGACATAATTAAAGTTCGAAAATTAAAAGATTTTTAATTATGCGAATTAAAACTTTAAATGTTACACGTAACAGAAGACATCCATTTTTTTAAGTACGGTGTTATATATTATTCAGATTATTATTATGATAAATTTTATTTTTTAACATTCTATTTATTAGCAATAATTACGAAGCTATTCTTTACTGTTTTGCTACTTAAGAAAAGTTATATTAATCTTGGATTAATGTCACATAAAGGTTAACTAAGAACTGACAGCTTTCAATTGCAGCTTTCAAAAACACACACACAAAAAAAGGTCAAACTTTTTTATTTATTTAAGTAAAAAATTTTAAGACGTTATATAAACATTAAATATATATAAAAACATTAAATTAAACTGTTTATTTTTAAGTTATAAATAAACTATATAAGTATAAAATTAAACATCATTAACTAATAAAAATACAGTAAATCTATAATTATATTATTTCTTTCATTTAATTTTAAAATATATTTATAAAATTAACTCTACTAATCTGCAATTTATTTTATTGACTTCAGCAATAAAATAAAATTAATTCAATAAAACATCACTTATTCTGTAATTTTATTTATTATGTAACCGTTTATAGGTAATAAATGGTCCCAGTTAGTAAATATAAATTAAATTAAGTTAAAATTTTAATTGAAACATTTTAATTTAATTAGAAAACATTTGATTTATATTCAATTTTCACATGCAATTAACGTAACATGTATAATTGCAAAACTGTATCTTATAAATTAAAGTAATTTATAATCTATAAGCATTGACAATATGTGAGGAAAGTAATTTTATTTATTTTGATCTTTAATGTGTAGAGAGCAAGCCCAAAACTCATTTAACCGTGCTTTTTAGTGTTTTTCTTATACAAGATTGACGAAAACACGATAAAAATATGATTAAGTATAAGACAAAAATTTAGTCTTTAGAATAGTTAATTGACTTTTGGGCCACTGTATATTTTTAATTATAACATCATAATTTTATGCTGCTTCCATCTGTTGGAAATAATGTAATCTGTTGGAAATAATGTAGACTATGAAAAATTCAACATTTATATAAAAAATTCTATAAACAAATGTCTGCATGTTATAGATTACATAATTGCATACACATCCTGTGTACAGTACTGTACATATATACAGTATAACGTTGTATAGTAACAAATTACTTTAAATTGTTTTCTATATTTTTATTATAGAATTTTAAAAATAATATTTTAACTTAAATTAGAAAATATTCAGTTTTTTCTACATAAATATTTACTTTTAATCGTAAATTTCAAATTAGCTAACATGCTTCAACACCTGTTTGTCTGATGTACTGTACAGTACAACTGTATTTACAGAGCTTTTGTCTGTTAAACAGTTAACATGTCCTCGGATTTTTCTCCATTGCAAACAAATACAGATAAAATAATTCAATATAATACAATGGAAATAAATGAAGATCAAAAACGTAAGTTTAATCCCTAATAATTAATAGTTACTGATAATATTTGTTAATAAGTGATATTTAACTTAATTTATTTTTAAAAATATTTAAAAATTAAATAATGGTATTAAATTGATTTAAATATGATATAATAATTTAAAAAGTTACATAAAAATCAATAAACATATAACCAGAAAATGCTTGAATTTATGTTATTTGTACTTTTTTTCCTAAATTTTTTTCTATTAAAGCATTATTTCTTGTTTTACTTTGTAGAGTTAAATATTAATTTTTTTTTAATAAATATATAGTTTTGTTATATAAAAAACAATATTTTTTAAACATATTTGAAATGTTGGCTTAAGTTCAAAATAGTCTTTTAAATGTAGTTCAAGNAAAACATTTGATTTATATTCAATTTTCACATGCAATTAACGTAACATGTATAATTGCAAAACTGTATCTTATAAATTAAAGTAATTTATAATCTATAAGCATTGACAATATGTGAGGAAAGTAATTTTATTTATTTTGATCTTTAATGTGTAGAGAGCAAGCCCAAAACTCATTTAACCGTGCTTTTTAGTGTTTTTCTTATACAAGATTGACGAAAAACACGATAAAAATATGATTAAGTATAAGACAAAAATTTAGTCTTTAGAATAGTTAATTGACTTTTGGGCCACAGTATATTTTTAATTATAACATCATAATTTTATGCTGCTTCCATCTGTTGGAAATAATGTAGACTATGAAAAATTCAACATTTATATAAAAAATTCTATAAACAAATGTCTGCATGTTATAGATTACATAATTGCATACACATCCTGTGTACAGTACTGTACATATATACAGTATAACGTTGTATAGTAACAAATTACTTTAAATTGTTTTCTATATTTTTATTATAGAATTTTAAAAATAATATTTTAACTTAAATTAGAAAATATTCAGTTTTTTCTACATAAATATTTACTTTTAATCGTAAATTTCAAATTAGCTAACATGCTTCAACACCTGTTTGTCTGATGTACTGTACAGTACAACTGTATTTACAGAGCTTTTGTCTGTTAAACAGTTAACATGTCCTCGGATTTTTCTCCATTGCAAACAAATACAGATAAAATAATTCAATATAATACAATGGAAATAAATGAAGATCAAAAACGTAAGTTTAATCCCTAATAATTAATAGTTACTGATAATATTTGTTAATAAGTGATATTTAACTTAATTTATTTTTAAAAATATTTAAAAATTAAATAATGGTATTAAATTGATTTAAATATGATATAATAATTTAAAAAGTTACATAAAAATCAATAAACATATAACCAGAAAATGCTTGAATTTATGTTATTTGTACTTTTTTTCCTAAATTTTTTTCTATTAAAGCATTATTTCTTGTTTTACTTTGTAGAGTTAAATATTAATTTTTTTTTAATAAATATATAGTTTTGTTATATAAAAAACAATATTTTTTAAACATATTTGAAATGTTGGCTTAAGTTCAAAATAGTCTTTTAAATGTAGTTCAAGACTAGATTATATCTCAATAAAGTATTACATTTATTACTTTTTCTTAAGTTTGTTTATGATTCACATTGTTTATGTCTTTCTTAAACATTTAAAAATTGTTTTTAATCTAAAAATTGTCAAAAATTGAATATAAAAAGTTAAAATTGATCAAATACAAAAAAAAAGAANTATTTAATTTAAGGAATATTTTTATATTTAGATGAACAGCTTAATCAAAAGACATATTCCTGTACTCAGCTAATTAGCATCGTTGGAATTATATTTTTACTACATTTATCAGCTTTCCTTTTAGCAATCTTCTTAGTTCCTCACTTTAGATGTGATAAAAATAAAGAAGTTATAATTATAGAAGAAGAAACATTTCCTTGGCTAGATGCTAATTTACCAGATTTTATAAATCCAATTCATTACTCTCTTCATTTGCATCCGGATCAAAATGAATTTCTTATGACTGGAGATGTTAATATCACTTTCAGAGTAGAGCTTTGTACTGATTTTATAGTATTAAACTCTAAAGAATTGAGTTTTTCATCAGTAGAAATATTAAATAAAGCACCAAAATTTGAATCATATATAGAAAATAATCAACTGGAATTAGTTTATATTAAATTTGAAGGCGAATTAAAACCTGATGTAAAGTATACATTACGAATACAATTCGAGAAGAAATTAACTGAAGTAGCTTCGGGTGTTTATGTTACTTCATACACCGATACACTACAGATCGAAAGGTTTGTGCATCAATTATCTTTTAGAAAACCTTTATTTTAATATCAATTCGCATTACTTTTTAGTTGTGAAAACACCATTTATCTAATTAACAGTAGTACAGTTTTCAGCACTTTATTCTTTGTGACGATATACATTTCTGGTTCTTGCTCTTCATCAGTTGTCACGAGCTGCAAATAATTCAGATTTCGTTCAAATTGCAATACAATTAAAAATAAATATCGTATGTTTGTATAAATAAATTAATGAAAAGCAAAAGTCCGAAATAAATAGTTTCACAAAGAATAAAATGCTGCCAAGACCATATATATATTAACGCATGGGCATTTCTGATTATGCCCGGGAGTTTTGTCTTCTTAGGAGTTTCATCTTACTGCTCATTAATAATATTTTTGTTCTTTAACTATGCCTGTATTCAGGGCCGGATTAACCTACTTTGGGGCCCTAGACATTTTTTTCTTACGGGGCCCCTTCTCTCTCCCACAAGAAATAGAGCACACAAAAAATATAAAACAATAAATAAAACAAAACTAAATAATGTTAAAAACTAAAACAAATCTTAAATTTTTATTAATAAAAAATATTTAATATACAACGATAAATTTTAGTTTTTCTAGAAAAGTTTGAACAGTTTGTTTATAAATTTAAAAAATTAAAATTTATTTTATTAAATATCTAACAAAAGTTGTTATACAATAACAATATTACCTTAAAATATTAATTGGATAATTGGATAATATTTAAATAATATAATATTTTACCCATGAAAGGTAAATTGAATAACGAAAAAGATAATTTAAATAAAAGCCAAGATAGTTTTAAAAAAGTAAGTACCGTATATCTGCGCAGATAAGACAACCTTCAGATAAGACAAGATGTAAATTTTCGTCGAAGTTTTATAGTTTTAGCATATATCTATCCTATAAGACGACCCCGAAACTATCAACGACCTATGAATTTATTTTAGATCAGCGATCATCAACTGGATAATAACACTGTATAGCGTATACAGAATTATGTCCTATTTGTAATTTTTTGAAAGAACTTCAAATTTTATATTCTTGTATCTGGCAGCATGGACTTGCAATTGTTGCAAACATTCACACTGATTCGGGCATTCGGATAATATCCGAATCAGTGTGAATGACCTTGACTATTCACAAAAACGTCGTATGGGCTATTCTATTTTGTGGACATGCCCTACTCTCTACTAGTAAATACTTACGGTTTTCCGTTTTTTTATAATGATTTTAATTGATATAAATTTCAATCTAATTTTTTTGTATGTGTCCTATAAGACGACTCCGGATTTTGGGGGTCTTTTTTTATGATATAACTATCGTCTTATCTGCGCAGATATACGGTATATAAATATGGATAAACTTTATTTAAAAATTCTGTTTTCTAGTCTTTAATTCATTAAAATTATCAATTATTTCATTATAATTAATATTATCCAAATCATTTTGTTCGATGTATAAAACAGCTAAAGAATTTAATTTTGATTCACTCAGTGAGTTTCGTAAATAATTTTTTACACGTTTTAATACTGAGAATGAATTAGTTTCAATAAGAAGAAACATAAGAACACATTTTCTTTAGATTTTCGAATTTACAATAGCCATATAAAAAGCAATATATTTTTGTTTATTTGGCTATTATATACAGTTGTCCAACAGAAAAGTAAACTATCTTATTTACAAATATTTTCAAAATAGAAAGTTTGACCGGACCCTTCTAAAAGTCGGGCCCTAGACATTTGTCTCATTTGTCTATGCGATGATACGACCCTGTCTGTATAATACCTGTAATGAAATTGGGCCGGAAATTTTAAAAGTGCTTAAAACAGTTATGAGTGCTGCAAATCTCATAGGTATATTCAACGTGGACAGAGAGGCATCGAGTAAAAATTTCTAATAAACACATGAAGAAAATTTGTAATGATTAATAATTGTTTATTCCTATCACTTTCTAATATTTAAATAAAGATAAATAAATTAAACACTCTTTGTTTGTATATAAGTCTTATTAGGTTTATCTACAAAAATGATTTTATGCACAAACTTATATAATTCCCAATGTTCCTTGCGTTAATAGAAAATTGTACTCTTGTTATTTAAGTAAACTGTATTTCTACAACATAAAAAATAGTAAGAAATATAATGCGATTCTGTAAGAAAGAAGATATTAATTCTTATTTTTTTAATATTATAGATACGTTGTGTTAACTTATTTCAATAACAAACAAGCCAGAAGAGGTTTTCCATGTTTCGATGATCCTAGATTCAAAACTACTTTTCAGTTAAGTCTTTCTCATAGTTTCGATTATGATCCTCTTTCTATTACGGATTTGAAAGAAACCATTTCCAACGACAATATCGTAAAATCTATTTTTGAGAAAACTGTTCCTATCAGCACAACCTCTTTAGGATTTATAATATCCGATTTCAAATTCCAGAGAAAGGATCTCAATGGGATAAGCGTAAGTTTATCACTTAAAGAAATATTTTAATTAAAATTTAGAATATAATAAACGTTTAATCGTATTTAAATTCAGCTTTAAATTTTAAAAAATGAATGAATAATTATTTATAGATACGTATCTCGACTCCTTCACAATATTACTCAAGGTGCAATTTTGCTTTACAAACATCATACGAAATTCTTCAATGTTTTAAAGATAAACTAAATTTAACTTATCCATTTTCTAAACTAGGTAAGTAAAAGTAAAAAAAAAAAAACAACAATAATAAAATAAAATAAATCTGTATTACTTTAAAAGATTTTTTCCCTTGACATTAAAGCATATCTACTTTATATATATATATGTCTATATCCATATATTTTTATTTATTTATTCTAGATATTTCGGCTATACCAAATTTCGAATATCCTGGAAGTAATGGTCTTAGTTTAATATTTATGAAACTTTCTAACATTCTAATGGAGCTACAAGAAGGTTACGAAGGTAAAGAAGTGGTTGTCTCTTCATTAGCTCATCACATAGCGCATCAGGTACAATTTGCAAGAATTTTTTAATGCTAAAAATTCAACACTTATACAAAAATAAAAATATATTTTAAATTTTTACAGTATTTTGGCAACGAAGTAACGATGAATGATTGGGATAATCAATGGTTGATCGAAGGTTTAGCTTGTTATTTAGAGCATCTCGTTGCTGAAGATGTGTTGAAAGAAGTAAGTTTAGCTTTATGATAATAATTTTAAATTATTATTTAACGTTTAATATATTTACAGAAAATTGAATTTTACGTCGATTTTCTTCATCCGACTTATCGTCTTGGTAAATTTATTAATGCCGAACCTCTAAGAGAAGAAGTAGGAAAACAGTCTGAAATTATCAATATCTTCAGCGAATTGAGCTATCATAAGGTATTAAATTAAGTTTATTAGCGAACATTTTTTTATTTATTTGACAAAAAGTAGTAATTTCCTTAATAGGGAGCATCAATTTTATGGATGTTGGATAACTTTGTAGGAAGGGATGCGCTTCTTTCAAACCTTTCGCATTTGTTAGAGATGTATCGATTTAAAAGCATCTCTCATCATAACATTTGGGATATTATGGATGAGGTACTTTTATTATAAACACTTTAACCTACTTTCTTTGAAATTTTATTTTAATGAACTCTAAAATCTTGTTAAATAGAATAATTTAAATAAAGCTCTAAATATTTCCGCTATGATGAACAGTTGGATTGAACAGAAAGGTTATCCTATAATAACAGTTATACGTCATCGAGATCGGTTGGTTGTCAGCCAAAAACCTTTTCTTCTAGAAAGTAAAGAGAAAAATCATGTTTTATGGAACATTCCCTTCAGTTTGCAGACTGACAAAACCCCTATTCAATGGCATATTTTGAAAGATAGGGAAAGTAAGTGTAAAGAAGTAATGGGAGATAAAATTTTTTTATCTAAATTTTTCTATTTTATTAAATTTTTCTACATATTTTAAAGGTTCTATAAATATCCCGATAAATATTTCGTGGTTTAAAGTTAACGTTAACCAGACAGGTTTGTATCGCGTTAATTACGACGAACCTACTTGGAAAATATTAACCAGTTTACTAGAGAATAACCATCAAGTACGTTAACAATGTTCAATTTTATTTATATTTAACAAAATTAAATAAAATAATTATTAAGTTTATATGTATTTTTGTTTTAAAAATAATTTTAAAAAATTAATTTTAAGGTTTTCAGCGCCGTCGATCGTGCCGGTTTGATAGACGACATATTCATGCTAAGCAGGTAAGTTCGTTCGAGTTCATTAATAATGTTTATACATGAAATTCGTTCAACGTGTGGTTATTTATTTCAGAGCAGGAATTTTACATGCTTCGTATATTTTCGACGTCGTTAAATATTTAAAAAATGAAAAAGAATATGCACCTTGGAAGATAGCTTTAAGTCATTTTCATGATCTACTAATGCTTTTAGAAGATGATTCGCATCTGTTACTTATCCAGGTTAATTCTAAATTTAAGTGTAAATTAATAATATTCGTAAATTTTAACTAAAATTTTCTATTTATTAGAATTATTTTTCAAGTATACTTGCATCAATTATAACCGAATTTTCAGACTGGAATGAAGAAGAATCTAACCAAATGATGTAAGTTGGCTTCTTGACGATATTTTACATTTAATTTAAATAATTTTAACATGAAATTTTTATTTAAAACATAGAAAATTACGTACATCCGTCTTTCTTTCCGCTCTAAAGATTGAAAATGTGGATATTATTCAGAAATCTATACAAATGTTTCAAAACTGGATGGATAGAGACGAACCGTGTTAGCTTTTTCTCTTCTGAATTTCTAGTTTTTTTTAAATATTATTTTAATATTAAAAATAACGTTTATTTTGTTTAAAAGTATTCAAGTAAATCTTGAAGGCATCGTATACATATCCGGCATAAAATATGGTAGTAGAAAAGAATGGCAGTTTTGTTGGGACAAATATAAAAATTCAGATAACCCAAGAGAAAAAGAATTACTGCTCAACGCACTCGGATATAGTAGAGACGTTTGGCAACTAAAACAGTAAAAAAAATTAATTATTTCGTTTATTGCATTAATAAATTAATCTAATACTGTTATTTATTACGTTAGATATCTTGATTTTACTTTGAACGAGAATGAAATTTCGATCGAGAACATTGCTTTAGTGATATCTTCTATAGCATCAAATCCTTCTGGTCGACTAATCGCATGGGATTTTATACAAGAGTATTGGGATTTTATCAACAAAATGTAACCAAATAAATAAAAAATATATAAAATTCTATATATTTTTTATATCTATAATCTTGTTTACTTTACAGTTTCTCAAAAGAAAACTATTTTATTAACGTTATATTAACAAAAGTTACGTTATACTTCAGAACTGAATTTAAATATAATCAAGTAAGTTTAAGCTTATATTTAATTATTTGAATATGTAATAAGAAATTTTGTGTCATTTTATATATATTTCTATTTATTTGATCACGTGTATCAGGTAAAAAATTTCTTCGAACGTGTTCAACTGAATACTGAAGTTTCCAAACAGATACTAGAGAATATTCAATGGAATATTAAATGGGATAGATCAATAAAAGAAAGATTTATTGAACTTGTATCAAAAAATGTCAACTGAAATACTCTGCTATGTGATATTTACTGTATAAATATATATATATATATAAGCCAAAAAAGAAAAAAAAATGTATATTGCAAATTTGAAAAAAGTAATCAAATTTATTTCAATACATAAAGTAGCCTGTAAAATTTCAATCAGAAATTTCCAATAAACAAAGAAGTAGAAAAAGTACAGATACATATTGATTTGCTTTCTCATCTTTTAGTTCCTGAATTGAATTTTTGTTCTTCCGTTTGCAAGTCAAATAAAGAAAGAAGAAATATAAAAATCAAAGAAAAAAATTTCCCGAAAAGTTGTAATTTCAACCGTGGGCAAATTTTACTCATTTATATACTTTTATTTTTTCCCTTAAAATAAACATCGGAAACGTTTTCATCTTTCGATTTCGAAGGTCATTCTACTGATAATGGAATCTAATTCTCGAATTTTTGATCACTTGCAACTGCGTAAGATATTGAAAAAGAATTGTTATCTTTGCTGTAATCATTGTTTTTTTCCTCAAAAATTACCCTTAATACATTAGAGCCGTTTCAAACATGATCCTTCATATATATATATGAAGTCAATCAAGGATCACTCTCTTAATGATCTCATTCTTCTTGATACATCATTTTCTTTTAATGATTTTTCTGANATTACTGCAAAACTCAGATGTGTATAGAAGTTGTTCTTTTAAAAAATAAATAAATAAAAAGTTCATGTACATTTTTGTTTTATTTTTAAAAAGTACAAAAGCTTGTGCAGTTTTTCTCTTTGTTTAGAAGTAATTTTTTGCTTCTTAGAATCTAAAATCAAAGAAAAAATCAGAAAGAGAGTAAAAGACAACAGAAATCGATAGGAAATATTTATTGAATACATTATATATATATATATCTGAAATATATCTGAATTTATTCCCTTTTCTTGAATAAATATATAAAATGTATAATGTTATAATAAGTTATTACTATATATTTTTATTGTTTTTATATTCAGTTACCATGAACATCTAAAATTTTTTTATAACAATAAAAATTATCGCAGTGTTCAACTTTCTTAAATTAATCTTAAAACAAATTTAAATAAAATTAGTTTAATTTTATTCTAAATTATTATATTGGATCATAAAATTAGCTTATATTTTATGTTTAATTGCGGATCATCATCATTATAATGATAATATAAACTTATTTTTAAAATTCTATCTTTATAATTCAAAGTTTGTAAACAGAAACTTTAGTTTTCCAAACGTCTAAATGTTAAATTCTTATGCTTGAAATTTTATGTTTAAACTTCTTATAAATTGAAATTTTATGTTGAATGAAGTAGTTGTTCTCAACGAACTTTTCTAATGTAAACAAGTGAAAAAGAATTCGATCGACAATTCAACGAAAAGGTTATCTCAGAACCATTTGTTTAATGTTTTAATCCTGTATCAATGGGAGAAATGACATCGTGGTCAGATTTAAGAGGATTAAGTAAATGTTTTTTGTCCATTTATGGTATTTTCACAAGAAAATTACTAAATAATTTTATCGTGGAAAGAATTTCAAAAGAAAATCATTTTATCGGTAAATTTTCAAAGAGAATATAATCCTCCCAATGGAAATCAGATACATAAAATGCATTCCTATCGGCAGGACCGGATTTAAACCCGTTGTGGCTCTAAGCTATAATATGAAACCTTCCCTTCATACAAATAAGTTTAAAAACATAAGATCTTATTTTAACCTGCTTACATTATATCTGGATCTGACCCTCTCTATCAAACACGTTTTGTACGAATATCATATTCTAACTTAATTAAATTTCAAGATGCATAAAAAATATTTTTATCATTAGGGTTGAAGTTAGATTAGTCATAGCCCTATACCATAACATTTAAGGACTCTTCCTCTTACAGCATTTGAAAAGACTCTAAGTCAGCGAGATCTATCATCGAAGATTGCAAGATGAGCGATCGCATTGGATGAGTTTAAGTACGAGAAAGAACATCCTGCAGGAACCAGAATGATACACTTATATACACTTAGCTTCTCTCCAGTAATGATCATAGAAGATATATTGGTTAGGACAATCACTGTAACTTGCTTAAACCCATGTTTATCATATATGTTATATATCAATACCATGCTTTAACTTAGATTAAATTGATTAAATTCTATATATGTGTGTGAATAATTAAGTTAAGCTGAATTTATATAGCCAATAAAGTTTATTCCATTATAAAATATTAAAAATTTTATTTAAGAAAATATATATATATATTAATTAAATCAGTCTCTTAAACTTGATGCGAGAGATAAAAAATTCATTAATTTTTTAAATAAAAAATATACAAAATGTGAGTTTTTAAAAATTAAACTTTTAAATTAAAATATATTTTAGTAATTTAATTTTAGTTTTAAAATGTGTTGTTAATTTAAATTGAAACAATGAATAATTTTAATTATTTTGATTTTTATTTATTAAAAATATTACAAAAAATATTAACTGATTTTTTAAACATTATTATTACATAAATGAATATATATGCACTGAATACAAACTATGGGAGATAAATAGCATGATAGGAAGTTACACTCCACATTAAAAATGATAAAATATTTTCTTAAAAAATGATGTTTACATCCTGAAAAATATATAATATTTATAGATATCGTTTGGATGTTTTTAATTTAATCAAATAATAGAACATTTTTAAAGTACTGTATTAAACTTTTAGGTTATATAAGATTGAAATCTAGTTATAAAATGTTAAATTTTAAATAACTTTAACGATATTTTAAACAGAAATTTAATATAAAAATTTCTGTTAACTTTGTTAAATAATATAAAATAGAATATTTTATCTTAAGGATAAAAGTATAAGGATTTTATCCTAAATATTGTATTTAAATAGTTTGGATATATATATATAGGCCTATATATACAGAATATACGGAACTTAGAATATAAGAATTAAATTTAAATAAACAGGATTAATATTTTAACGCTTTAATCATATATTTTAATGATTATTAAGTATTCTATTTTATCATAGGGATTAAATCCCTTATATTCTAATTTTGTTAATAGATCCTAAAGATGTTTTAAGAGAGCCTTAGGATTAGGTTAACATTAAGATATATTTGGAGTAATTTATTCTATAGATCTACAAGAATATATAGCACCTACTCTCTCATTTTCTTCTTTTTTTCTCTTTGATAATCTATCCCAAAGGATGTCGATCGCAATTACAATAATTTCCTCCTTCTGGTGGGTTCTTATTGCATAATACTTTACACAATTCACTTCTGAATCCGTTATCCGAAGAAGGGGCACTTGATATTAAACATGGACAGAAACCAACAACGAATGCGACTATCACAAGAAATGTAACAAAATTTGAAGCTTTCATTATCTAAACAAATTTTAAAAAGAATAATTAATACATTTCTTTTAGATTTAAATTTGTTTACGTAACAAAATTCTTAGACATTCTAGAGATAAGAAGTACTGTAGTTAATCGAGTAAATATGAACTAGAGACGTTTCGGCTTCGTCTCATCAGTTTAGTTATCAGCAAAAGTCATGATAAAATTCGATATGTTATATTATATAAATAGAATTCTCGATAAAAGCATATTTTTATTAAATTATTAAATAAATGAATGCTTATTTACCATTACAAAGCTTATCATTGATCAATCCAATACAATTTTATATACTTTCTCTATTTCCGATCCGAGAACAATAGAATTTTTTAACAAAATAAAAGAAATAAACAGTTTTAACGGTAAAAATAATTAAATATACTTAAAATAAATATTTCATATCATTAAAATCGTGTTTACTAGTATTAATCGGTAATTAAAACTTTAAAAAATGCAATCTGCAAATTCTTGTAGGCTGAAAGCTGCATACTTGTGAAGGGATGCTCTTCATAATTTATTTTTTCATTAAAAATTCAAGCATATAAAAAGTTACGTACCTGTGAAAGGGATGCACTACAAGATTTCTTTGTTAAAAATACATGTACAGAAGGTAAGTTCTCGCTTGACAGAGTAGTTGCAGACAATTACAGAACTATCAAATTTGTCGAGATAAATAGCGCTCTATCTCCACGTTGCGATAACGTTTACGATAAGAAACGAAATAACCCCGTAAACAATCGAAAATGATTCATTTTAATTGGTTTATATAGTAACGACCTTGATTTATTTATCGATCTGACGTTTGCACAATTGTCTGAATAATCAATTAGATCGGTCTTGTGGTCTTCGAGTCGCCAATGTCACAATTTTGAAACATAGAACTTCTTCTCTGTAAATAATTGTTTGCATACATATCTCGAATCAATTTGCAATTTATATTAAATTGCGCAAGAAACAATATTGCAACAATACTGTAAAATAAATGATTTAAAATTAATTTTGAAGCGGTTAAAAATAAATGTGATATATAAGTCTACATTTCGCGATAAGAAGTTGATAAATTTTTTTAAATTATATAAAAATTTCTATGAAAATTTTAAAATAATTTGAATTTTTTCGAATAATTTTCTTTAGGATCGAATGCTATATCGAGAAGAAACGAAAACTGTTTGCAATAAATTGCTATGGGGATCTTGGACCCAACTGAAACTCCCTTCGGATTCACACGAGTGTTTTACGAGTTATAGATCTTCAGATCTCTAGAGAACTTGATATGAATCTAAAAAGAAGAAAAAAAATGCATATCAGTTACAGAAAGTAACAACATTATTATACAATTTAATAATTTTATATTGATATAACATTTCTTGTTGATAAAACTGTACAAATTTCAGATAAGAATTGCCACTTTGCGAGACTCTAAAAACTGAAATTTTAAAAAGTGTATGATATTATGCACTGTTAATTATAATTTTCCATTATTATGACATTTAATTAGGATTTTCCGTTATTTTAAACATTTCACCACAATTTGCATATAGAACTGTTGCAAAAAAGTTTGAGAAACTCAAATCTCAAGAGAGGTTTCAGGGAACTTCACAAAATAGAAATTGGTCTTGAATATAATAAAAGAATTGGCCTTATTTTTATACTATACATACTTTTTGCCATTTATTTAGATTACTATTTCTATTATTGCACGTTCAAATGATCAAAAATTAGTTACAAGTTGATACAGTTGGAGCACTGGAAGATCTTTTATGGCACTCCATTCTCAAACTATTCACGTTTCATTTCACACTTAACTAGTTTAAGTATAGTAAATCGTAATTAAACTAGATAGATATGCTGTATAATGTATGATATGGGAGTAATTTATTTTGTTTCTGTTACATAAAATATTTTCTACGTAGGGCTCAATTCGTAGAAATTTTCATTAGTTAATAACTCAATAAAATGAAAAGTACACGTTATATTTTCGAACTTCGGACTAAATAGCGTTTGTTGATCTGTAGCAAGTGTGTAAGAGCATCGATAAGATTCATTTCGAAAACGATATTGCTGATATACAAGCCTACTATATCACTGTACATGACGCCATCATAAAAGATAGACTATAAAGGGACAATTTTCAAAAGTACTCAGGGTAATAATTATTGATAGAATATAGGTTCTGCGTAGTTCTAACTACTCGGTTTATTGCATAGAAAGTTTATTTAATCAACATACGACTCGTTTTGCGTAAATGAATGCTATCTTAACGACTTGACGTGAGACGATTCTTTATTACAGGAAATTAGCACATTTAGTAACAGGATCTAGCAATTATAAAATCACTCATAAAACTAAACAGAAGTTTATAGATAATAAAGATTCTTTTACTTAACCATTGAGTAGATTTTTAAATATATAACAGTGTCTACACGTGTATTTCTGATAATGATAATGATACTTAACATGCTGCCATCTCTCGATAATTTTTCTCGTTTTTTAACAAAAACATTAATTAAATTTTAGCTTCTATACATTTTATTATAATTTGAGAGAATTAAAAGCTCTTATTAATTGATAAGTTATTAAAAAATATCAAGATTATGTAACGTTATAATGATATAAAAGTACATATTTTTGACCTAGATGAGGTTTAAATATCGCTGATTGATCAACTTTTTTTATTTTTATTCTCCGTGCTTGCCACTTCAACTTGGATATAAAAACTAACGATATCTTTATGTACATATTAGGCTACTATAAACCTTAATTACACTAGCGCAAATGCTTGGATGCCTATTGTGGAAAGAATGCAGTTATATGATATATTTAAAAACATAAATTATTGAATATTAAGTAGAACATACAATAAAATAACAACAAATAAATAAATGAAATATTCTAATTATATTGAAACTATGTTATTATTATTTTTTTTTATTTTTTTTATTTTTTCTTACTACACGAGATTAATGGTAATGATTTACAGTGTGAGATTAGCCCCACTCTCTTAAATTAGATTTATATAATTAAAATCTTTATACTTAAATTTATTTTGTTAATTTTTTTTGCTTTTAATTAATTACTTAGTTCTAAATTCAAAACATTATTATTATTATTTTGGATAAACATTTCTTGATTGTGGGAAGATTGAAAGATTGACTAACCTGACCTAACAAAGTGTTGGATCAGAAGGAAGATGAAGATAATGATATATTATATTTCTAAATTTACACTTTAACATTTAGGAAATTTAACTTTTTTTAAACCATCGTCTTTAAATTATAATGATAGTTTTTCTATTTCACGTTATATAACTGGTATTTAAAATTCAGATTTAGTAGTAATTTCCCTTTAAAAATATAAGAAGATGCTAGAAAACGATAAAGAAAACAATTTTAAAAAGTTTTCTTGAGTACATAGATCGAAGAATAGGAACTTATTACGATATTAAATGTTTATAAAGAATTTTTATACATTATAAATAATTTAAATATATTTTTAATTATACTAACATATACAGCGTGATCCATAATTCAGTTAACCACTGTAAAATAGTACACAGAGTTTTAGTCAAATATTAATTATTTTTAATTACGTTTTCAGTTCTTCCATCAATTCTGTGAAAGAAAGAAAAAAAAACACCTTGTTCTTAACTCAGTTACGATTCATATTCACAAGTGTATCTGAAACATACAAAACAAAAACACGGTGAATTGAATTTTGAGTCATCCTAAATATAATTTCATTTATTTAAAAAATGTTGCTATTTATTTTGTTACTAATTAAAATGAAAATACGATAGAAAAAATTCGAAGACACTCTAGAAAAAAAAACTTATTTAAATTGAAATTGCGCGCTATTAGTTGGCAAAATCATTAAATTAGTTGGAAATTATATTGAAATAAATAAAAATTAACTAATTTGCAGAATATTTCAAAGATTTATGTTTCTAACAAGCCGAAACATTGTTAATTGTGTTTACGATGGACGTGACTATAATTTTTGTGTTGAAACTTTTTTTAAATTAACAATTATAACTTGATAAATGTATAATCAAGAACGTAAATTACAAGTTATATATATTGAAAGTCATTTATATAAAATAAATAATAAAAAATAAAAAAAATAAAACTCTAGCGTTACCGAAAAATGAAAAAAATTCCTAGTTTTTCCACTTGTGCTCTAATTACTGTTAATTATTACTTTGAGCACTTTAAAACGAACATCGTGTTATAATAATGATAAAAATATATTTTAATTTAA